TTCCCACAACTGTCATATTTCTCGAGCCGCATGCCGGCATATCTCGGCCTCCGGCCTGATTTTGTCCCGTGCTTGAAACTTAAAGTGGTCGATTTAAAGTTCCCCCTCGCGAGCGGACTTCCGAAATCGCGTCGATTCGTCTTCGGCACCCCCTCGGAGGTGGACGTGTGAATACGTAGACTCACCTACACCTTTGTCCTCGGGAAAAGTCGAGCGAGGTGGATTTTTCAAGAGCGTCTTCCCCCGGCCCCCGTCCCTGATTCACGTTCCAGACGGTGGAAGTTAAAAGCAACTTGGACGTATAACGATTCCTTTAGCCCCGGTCGCGACGGTATCTCGAGATATCGAGTGGAAAGCGCGATACGATTTCATCCCGCTTCCTGCTGGGCAGGGAATAAGGGAACCGCTTAAAGAAGAGACCGATAACGGCGATAACGAAGTTTAGACTCCCGCGAAGAAAATAAAATTCACCGTGATCGCCACGCAAGAACGGGAACGTCATTTTTTAATTCCATTTGCGCATTGAATCTCCCCAATCGACCGAAAGAATTTTTATTAACAAAAATCCAAACATTGGACAAATTACGCACCCATCGTCGCAACCTGCTCCATAGATCCACACGGGCGATTTAGAGCCACCCCCGTAAGGGGCGTCGATTCATCTTGCATCCCCCTAGGTGGCTGGGGGTTGCCTACACTCTTTTCGAAAAAGGAGTCGAGGAGGGTGGTTTTTTCAAGAGCGTCTTCCTCCACTTCCCAGGCCTTACACGCTGTCTCGTTCGCTTAATTAAAGCGCCACTCGAGTCCCGTTCCCCGGCGATTCGCGAAGCGGCAAAAAGAATGACGACACGGAACTCGCATTATGCCGTCTCTTTTCCACCCCCAGCCCTGGGAGCACCCCGAGATTTCCATTCGAGTCGGCCGTCTAGAGAGAGACGTCGTCCCCCGCGGTGGGGAGTGGGGCGGTCGCCCCAAAGCCGTTTTCGCGCTTCGTCCTTCTCGGATATGCTCCATTATCCCTTTCATTATTAAAGGCTATTAAGACCGTATAGCTCGAGACGTGCATCGGGTGCGTCCCGAAAGGTTCCGGTTAGAATGCATTAGGGGTGGTTTCGCCCCCGGCGGGTGACGGCGGGGGCGAAATGCAAAATCCTCCGAAGGGCGGAATTCGCGCTCGGGGTGACGGGCCAATTTCCCGGGAAATTAAGCAGGGACTGTTAACCCGCTCGGAAGTCCGATAAAAGCGCGTCCTTTTGAGGGCCGCCTTTGGGAGGCGGCCACCCCCTCGCGGGATTTTCATTTTTCCTATTTTCTCGCGATTTTTTGCCGCGCCGGCCGGGTGACGCGGCGCTGAAAAAGGCGGATATGGTTTTTGATGCGCTTTCGCGTAATTTCGGACCGCCGGCCCATCCTGATAAGCCGTTTTTGGGGGCGAGCGGACAATGGGACTGGATGCACCCCCTGTAGATGGGACGGGGAGAGGGAATCACCCGAAGCTCGCGCGAGAGGGGGTGGCTCGGGCGAAAGTTTGATTCCGCTCCCGAAATGGACCAGATTATGCGTCAAGTTCGAAATGGCCGCGGAATTCTTGCGGAAGTCGGTGCGGCCGGCGTCGTCGGCCCTCGAATTCCCGGGATCGGCGGATATATCCCGGATAAATGAGAATTTTACGCCATATCTATTAATCGGGTAATCGCCGCCCCGAATTTCGGACCGTCCGGGGTTTAGTGCCGGTTATACTATTCGCATTAAACTTTATGGAATGCGATCGGACATTATACCCCCCTGTACGATTCCGGGGCGCCTTAAAGCGCGTTATCGCTCGGTCCGATAAAAATCACTCTCGCTGCCCTAGAAAAATTCGCCCCCTTTATCACCCCATCGCGAATTCCTGCAATTTCGCGGAACGTCTTCCCACCCCTCGGCCAAAAAATCCAATCTCATCATTTCCCCTCCCCCCTGTCGGACCCAATCACCGGGGCGGCATTTAATTCCCAATCCGCCATAAATGACCCGCCATAACACAGTCGGTGGATAAACGAGCCGCGATTTAAACTGCCTACAACGCGTTATCGCGAGCGGGGATGAAATTCGGTCTTGCGGCCGCGGGGCGAACAATGGGGACCCGATTAAATCCGATCGAGATCGATCGCGATCGACGAGCCAGGGGGTGTCACTTTCGCGAACCACCCCGAAGGGTCGACGTTTCTCCAATCTCCAGACTGGGAATTCGCTCTAGAAATCATTTTTACAAGAATTATAATAAAAATTGCGCCCCCCTCCCTCCCCTCCGACCTTGATAACGATAATCGTGATAATGACGACCCCGGCCGATGAACAATGGTGGGGGCGCGTTTATTGTCGTCCTGTCGAGAGCAGAGTGCATCCCCGTTTCGCCGTAACCGCGATGGGCCGGTGAAAAATGCAAGGGCCGAAAGCGCGGGGGACAATGCGCGCGCGACGCGCCCGCAAAACGCTCCAATTTTGGCGCGGCTCTCGCGTTTCCATGGAAATGTAATTCGCGACCTCCGACCCGATGGACTGGGCGAAAAGTACCGTTTAGATTCGGCCGAGGGCGCAAATTGGCGCAGAGAGGACCAGGATTGGGTTTACGGCGGGCCCGGGATGGACCCGCGCCGTTAATCGGGAATTATTCCAGGATTTTTGCGAACCATCGTCCCCGCGTTTCGTTATCTTGTCGAGATGTAATTCGCCCTGTGGAAATTGCGACTCGCGGAGAAATGTTCGCCGGGGAACAAAACATTCGGATTCACATTTTCGGTCGTGGGAAACGCATTTTACGCATATAATATGTATATCTCCGTATACGAGAAGAAGAGGGGGACGCACCGGGCTCTCTCGTCCCAATCAGCTGATCGATCATAAATCGATAAGGAAATTCGCAACCCCTCCGAACTCGTCGATACCCTAAAGTCGGTGCTAGGGGGAGGGCTCGCACGGGGGAAAGGGGGCTTCCCGTACATCGGCGTTAATCAAAGCAGGAGGATTTCATCGATTTTATCGCGTTCACTTTGGTGTTTTAATTATACCCACCCGTGTCCGGGAGAAGAGGACGATTACGCGTCCGCGGTCCCGTTGTAGGCGATACCGGTTCGATAAAATGCGCGATTGATAGTCTGAGTGGTTTGTCGACGATAACGGAGGCGTGCTCTCGCTCCCGATGGCTTCCTATTATCAGCGCGTCTGTCGATTGTTTCGTGAGAAATTTGAGTTCCAAAGGAGTGTCGTTACCGTTCTCACCCTGTATGGATCCTTATCGGTCTAATTGCCACTTACGGCATCTACGAGGCGGGGTAAAAAAAATTCCAAGGATTAGGAGAGAAAAGACAATGCGCCCCTTTTTAGGCAATCAGAGTACGTCACCGTGAAACGCGGCAAATTCTCTCGCATTCGTCAGGGCTTGATATAATTACGTCATGAAATTACACCGAGTAATGGCTGATGAACGCTGGGGAGAGGGGGTTGTTATAATTGCCGGAATGGGAGCAACGATTAGACGCGCGGTGCCTCTAATTGCTGCACTAATAACCGACCCGGGGGAGATTAATTCCCGAAGAATGTATTACAACGGAAATAGTCATCGATGTGTAACGATCGATCGCGACCTCCGATCGACGGATCGAACGAACGGTGCCGTTTAGATCTGACCGGAAGCGCAAATTGGTGCAGCGAAACCAGGATTGAATTTACGTGGGAAAAGGGGGGGAGGAGGGGGCGAGGGGATGGATTTCATGTACACCGGTGTTAATCAGCACCGGAGAATTCCATCAATTTTCCGGCGATCAATTTAGTTTTTTAATTACCTCACGACCGAGCAAAAGAAACACCCCCCACGAGCGCGATTGAAAAAGTGTATTACGCGAGTCCCCAAAAAATTCGGATTACTAAAAAAAGAAAATCCTCTCGAGAGTTAGCTTTACCGCTGGCATTGTTAAAATATGAAGCGAAGCAACGGAACGCGGTGCGCATTAATTACAGAAACGTTAACGTTCCCGGGTATTGCCGTACCCACCTTTCCGCGTTCTTGCAAATTTAATGCGAGGCGTTCCCTTTGTCGTCGGCCCTCTTTTTACAAGTTTATATGTCCTTACTGCAGCTTTACGCGGCACTTCTGGCTGCGATTGTTCGCGGGAAAAAAGAAAATATCGCGATGGGCGTTAACCACGGGCCCTTCCTTTCTCAGAGAGGCGCCATTTTCCACTTCCTAAGGGTGGCAGGGAAAGATTCGGTCCCATCGGGATTTAAACATTTGAAGGATGCTAAACCCTCGGCAGGATAAATCGAAGAGAGGTGTCGTTCGCATTTAATGACGAATGCAAATAATCGAGGTAGAGAGCCGGGGATTGAATCCACCCCGTCGGGGTGCACCGGCAGAATGGATCTGACGTTCGATGGGAGCATCGCAAAAACCCTTGAAAAGGATCCCGATATAACGAAGCCTCTTGGAAAGGGATGCTCGCATCGGTAGAGGTCGACTAAATTGCACGGACACAAAGGCTCGGCGCAACGATTCCAATTGAAATTCTGGACATGTGGCTCGCGAATAGTTTCCATGAAAATGCACTTCATGATATCCCGTCGATGGGCCGCGTGAAAGGCGCCGTTTAAATTCCACGGAGGTGCAGATTTCAGAATTCAAGTGTCAATTTGCGCGCAAGGGGTAATTGCAAATTGCGGGACCTGGGCGCCCGAAACGGTGGCCCAGCATTATCCAGCTTTTCCCGACGAAAATCATAAATAATCCCAGGTGAAAACGTTAATTGTCCAGAAAATAATTAAGCTCGTACAAACGGCGATGGATGCACTCCGCTCCGAATTACCGTACCCTGTAAACGTCGCGACATCAAATTGCGAAACTGACATTTAAAATGTACCTCTGCCCAGGTTTACAGTCCCATTACTTGGAACCATTACTCGATAAGTTATCGACTTCGTATCGCGGTTTGGAACGATTCCTGAATGATGTGCCCGATTTGCAGAACGGCAGAGCGAGCAGCGAGAGCAGCGAAGACGGGGCCGGAAGTAGCGCCAGCACTTCCAGGGGGGCCGGAAGTGGATTCGGCCTGGGGTGCACCGGGGGATGGCGCAGCGTATTTGGGGCCGTTTCCGGTCGCGAATTGAGGCTCTACGAGTGCGCACCCTGGAGCCCCGAAGCTTGGGCGTCTCCCAGCATCACCTGTCCCCTGATCGCCACAAGGTATCGTCGACGATCGTTAACGATAACGAAATTGATTTTCACATTTTTTCGACAGCAGCCTACCTTCCATTTTTAATTATCAATAATACTCCCCGGGGAATTATTTTCAAGATAGAAATACCGTGGGGACAAAATTCATATTTTTCAAATATACACCCCAAGGGATATACTTTGCGTATATTTCCGGCGCGACAGCTCCTATACGGTAAGTAAGTAAAAACCATAATGCTCCCCGAAATCCCCTGGAACCGCCATCTTGCTTTCGAGCCCATCTTCCGCTCGCGGGTCGTCGTAAACTTTACGACACGTAGGAGGAACAAAAAGCTTTCCGATGTAATCGAGGTGAAAACTGCGGGGGAGAATGGCGCATCGCGGGGATCTCTTTAATTACCATAACGCGGTTCATCTCGCCCCGCGTTTTGCGTTAGCTTATGTGGGATTCGAGGGGACGCCGTAGAGACGGGGCCAGGGCGTCGTAACCCGCAATCGCGAGATGTAAACGCACCGGAGACCGAAGATGGGAGAGAGAACGCGAGTTTTCCCACCCTTTTGAATCCGGCCCCCGGGATTACCGATGCGGAATTAGGGCAGTTAGCGGTCTTTGTTACCCCGCCATTTTAATTAAGACCATTAACCGTCGACATTCGCATCGGCCGGTCGTTATCCCGCGCACCCCATGGAAACGCCCCAGCAAACGTAACGCGGGGTCACGTGTCCGGCGAAAGGGTGACCTACCCCTCGATAGGGTTCCTTTTAAATCCTAAATCGACGTAAATTCCACCGCCCTTCTCCGGTCGGTATCCCGCGTGAACTCCGAGGACGTCGAGATCCGATCGACCTTTCGTCGTTGACGTCGGCGTCGGCATCGCGGATACCGAATGCGAGCCGAAGAGTATCCGGAGTAACCGGCGCGACGACCGAGGACGGTAGTGGGGGAGGAGCGGGGCAAGGTTAATTAATAGCAAGTGATTAATCGCCGAGCCGAGCTACCCTCGTCAGACGAGCCTCCGAGCACCGGGTCGAACTTGTACGTGATCTGCAAATACGAGCGAGCTTCTACGTACGTCGCGCGTCCGTAACCCCTGTCGGTATGACGCGTGCAAAGGTACTCCAACTACCCCTGTTTAACCTCCGCTCCGAACCTCCCCGAGTCTCCCTCCGAGTTAAGTCCAAGTGCATTTGTTACACGACAAGGCTTATTAAACTTTGGACGTATCGACGAACGGCGACGAGCACCGTTTCCGGTCCCCTCGCTCGACTGCAGAAGTTGGAATAATCCTTCGACTCGGTACCGCCTCCTTTCCCGTTCGTTTAATTGCGAGTCGTTTAATTTCCAACAAAGTCTTGCGCGAGTATTTTTAAGCAACCCCCCCGGAATAGACTCATCCAAGATCCCGAAACGGAAGCTGGGACAAATGAGTACATCCCGTTAATAGGACGGGGCGAGAATTAACCATTGCGCCCCGGAAGTGGACGTATCAATTTTTTTAATGCCCTTCTTTCCTCGCAATCGGTCCAGTGGCATTATTGCGGTGGAGTGCGCGTCTCCCTCGATATACGGCATCCCATTTGGGTAGCGGGCAACGCTTTGTCGCCTCGGCAATTCCGTTAATGCACCGGTCATTGCACGCCAACGCGTAATTACGATTCCACTTACAGAGTGCCGTGTCTTTCCCTCCCGAAGGCCGCGACGCCCTGCGCAATCGTCACTTCCGGGATTGCATAACGAGTTCCCGAGGCGGCGACGCGTCCACCCACTTTGGAAGACCGAGGACGATCGCGTAATCGGTATCACCGTCCTCGTAATCCGGAGCTACTTCCGAGGTATTTCTGAAAGCCTGAACGCGAATTAAAAATATCACGGCTGATGGAATCGAGACTCTAATTATTCGCCCCCCTCTTCCGCCGACCGAACCCGATTTTCAGCGACGTTTCCAAGGATGCGGCAGAAAAGCTCCGATCGAGCCTCCCTTTATCCTGTCCGGGGCAATCCCGAACACGTTCCGAGCTTCACCCACCTATCTGGACGATTTCCCCTGTGACCGTGTCCTAATAAACTCCGGGCGAAACTGTAGAGAACGCGTGCCGAATGGTTAGCCGGAAACGGAAGCAGTCGTTAAGGGCACGATTTTCACAGAATTCCGATAAAGGTGAAAGAAACGTGAATTCCAAAAAAAAAAATTATCCAAGTTCTTTTACCGCGGTACTCTTAAATCTTGCTTATAAAAAAATCCTGTAAATTTTAGAAACCATATCTTGCAGCGGGAAAAAAAATCAACGGGAATTAAATTTGTCGGAGGGATCGATCTCGGTGGAATTTTCCCGATGGTGCGTCCTGGCCGCACCTACGGAACCACGTCTACAGGTTGCCGATTGCGGTGGAGCCCGGAATAGCTGAGCTAGCAAGGGGCATATTTTATGGGGGTTCTATTTATTTATCACCGAGCTGGAGGCCGGGGGCGGCCTCCCTGACCGGCGGCCAAATTAATGGACGGTTCGCCGCGCGACACGCGTGCGATTTCGCCGGTACGCGCGAATCGGTCTCACGCGAGAGCCACGCATCACGGTTTTATGGATCGAGCAGAGATTTTGAGGTTAAGCCGGCCCCATCGCGGTGGATTTCGCGACGCCGCGACGCCCGACAGCGTCATCCGTCGCTAACCGATCGCGATTTGTCTCCCCGAGAAGGAACGGTGTTCCCAACGCTACATTGTGCAATTTGCGATAACATCGGTACCGCGAAAAATTAAGTAAATGGTTAAAAGGATAACGATGTCGAGCGACAAACCGAGGGAGACGTAGGACCTTTTGAGGGGACGGGTCATTTTTTTTCGGGAAAGCCTTATCATTTCCGCCTGCACGCGTGATAACGAAGCCCGGTTAGGTACCAGTTAAGCCGGTACCAGAGGTATCCGTTCGCCTTCGCAAAGAGATAGGAGAAGAGGAAGAAGAGATATCCCTCGGCTTGGGGAGGATTTATCGAATCGTGGAGCCGGTTCATGAAAGTCTAACCGCAAGACAGAGGGGCAAGCCGGGCCGCGGGGGAGGAGGAAGGGATTTGGAAAAGCGTAGAGGGAGTTCGAGAGGAAAAGCTGAGGGGGGCAGAGCCGAATGGAAAATTTGTAGGTGCGAGGGGCTATCCAGGAGCTGGAAAAGCTCCGCAAGGAGGTCGCCGTCTTCGGGGGCGGGGGCGTGAAAGATGGGCTTTCGATAATCGAACGGTGAACCGGATCAATTAAGCCCCTGGGAGCGGGCATTAATTATCGAAGACGTCGTCAACAGTCCCCGGGAGGCGCGTCCTATCCCAAGGGATTCCGTCTACGGGACCAAGAAGCGACTCTGCTCGCGACTTACCGCTCCTGGAGGAAAAATGCACATTCGGGTGCAGATCCTCTGCGAGTGATTCACTGGCAGAGGAGGAATTTAGTTCGGTGGATTTGACCAGCGCCTCTTTGGATTTTTCTTATACTTTACGTCCTTTTCCGTTTAATCGATAGTCGCGAGAGATGCCGAAATTCAAGTGTCGCAGCGTTTGCCCTCTCCAATTACCGAGCGAAAGATGAGCTCTCGATAATCGAACGTTGGAATTAAGCCCCGAGGAGCGAGCATTAATTATCGAAGACGTCGTCGACGGTTTCGAGAAAGCGAAACCGATATCGGGAGCGAGATATTCCGGATTTTGAGGCGAGGTCCCGGCGCTTCCTCCAAGATGGCCACCAGCGGCCAGACTTACTTGTTACAGACTTGTTAGACCCCCGCGTCCTGGGAGACCTTCCGGAACGAGAGCCCCTCCTCCAATTTTGGAGGTAATTGCCGGAAATTGGCACCGGCGTATTAACCGCTTAAAGGAGGAGGCAGACCCTAATTTACCGCGGATGATTCATCGCGTGATTTTTAAAAAGCGATCTCAGATCCCAAGGGAGGAATCTCAAAGGACGAGGGAGCAGAGGACCTCCAATTGGGTGCCTTGGAGAAATTAATTGGACCCGGATCCAGTTCGAGGGTGAAATTCGACTTGAACCGTTTACCCGAAGACGCGATCTTCCGGCGATACTTATCCAAATTATCTAGGCGATCGATAACGTCGGTAGCGTGGCCGATCCAGCATCCAAATCATCCATCCAGATCGCATCTCGCTCTCGGACTAGCAAATATCCCGAACCGGAGAACCCTCTGCACCTTTTACCCGCCATCTCGTTACGTCCCTCCTCCTGTTCCCCTCCCCTTGGCGTTGGTGTCCTAATTGAAATTCCTCCCGAAATACCAACTGCCACGGCAATTACCGTGCCGTTTTTTCCCCCGCGTTGGCTTTTTCCGCCCCCCTCGGTCCGCGCCTTGACGATCTCCCTCATTAGTATGCATACAGCCTTATCTTTGTCGCGCGACTCGTTCCCGTGGGATTTTTTAAATCTCCCACCCTAATAAGCCCACTTCCCCCCAAAAGACATCGAGTTCATCCCCATTTTGGGGGGTTGTTCGAATTTCCGGGTCGGAATTAATTCGACCCCCTATAATTGTGCATTAAACGTTCGCCTCCCCTTTTTCCGGGGTCGCGCCACTTTCGGCCGCCATTATGGTCCCGAATTCCGGGGGCGCGTAATCACGCGTTAATTTTTCCGCCGCGGTCGGTGTCTTCCCATTGTCTCGTAATTGCTTCCGGAAAAACTCGCCTGCGGGAACAAGATAAAGTTCTCCGTTCTTCCCGCTCCCTTTCGGCCGGATCCTTTTCTCCTTTTCTGCCCCTCGCCCTCTTTCGCTCCCTTCCTAGGAAACTACTTCGGTTTCTCGAGCACGCTCCGACCCCCTTGTCCGGTCGCCTCGAAACCGCGCCGGCTCTAAATTTCCGCGTGTCTTTCAAAAGTGCGCGCAAGGGTCAAAGGAGAATACCCTCGGAAAAGGGAAGAAAATGGCGCAAGGAGAAAAGAGACTCGCTCGAGAGATGGAACGTTGAAAATCCATTTCCGCTGGATCGGCGACATATTGAGCCGTTCCACGAGTTTGCGGACGTAGTTTTTTTTTTTTCGGAGGTAATCGCATGCTCGCTCAAAAATGCCGGGAATTTTAAGGTCTTCCACCCGACGGGTTCTTTCGGCGGCGCCGGAAACTCCTTTTCTGGACCGAGGAAAAAAAATTGAACTCCGGTTGGAAGTAGTTCCGAGAGGAGGCGGAGAGGCAAAAAAGAGGAGGACGAATGTCCGGGGATAATACACGGAAAGTGCGTTTTTCTGGGAAGGGAGTTCAAATGGGAGTCCGCAAAACATCCAAAGGTCCGGAGTGGTCCCGAGAGGTCCGGCGACGGCGTCGCGACGCGCCTTAAACGGGCTATACTGCGGGACAAATCGGAAGTGATTCGACGTTCTCCGAGCTCGCGGAAACTTTTCGGATCCGGGATCACGAGGTGGCGTCCGTTCTCGTTCAGCGTCTTTATTTACTGACAGGCACTGCTAGGAGTCCCTAACGCGCGGATTCGTGTCCCAGGATCAGAAAACCTCCGTTTACGACCATAAATCCTCATCGCGGTGCCTCCCCTGAATCTTCATTTCCGCGCGATATCCAAAAAGCAACCGGCTTCAAATTAAATATAACCAATACCTGGATGTAATTTCAGAGTCTCTCGGTACTTCGCAAACTCCCAGCGGAAGTATCCATCTTGCAGGAAAAAGAGAAAAAAAAAGTAACGTTCCTTCCCCGAGCTCCGTTTCCTCGATTAAATCTCCACGCATTTCCGCTAAAACTCAAGACCTCCCTGGATCAATTTAAATACCGGCGATACTTGCCAGTAATTATAAAGTCTCCCGTTAATTCGCAGCGTCCCGGTGAAGGTCTATATCTCTCAGGAAAAGAATCGACAACGTTATCGGGAAATTTTTTTCCCGGGTAACGGGAGCATTCGCCGATATTGAACGTGAAACTTTAACTAGAGCCCGGAGAGCGCGGATCGACGGCCTCTTCGGGGGATGAAGCGGCTTGAAAAAATAAGTACACCGTCTAACGAGACATACCGGGGGAGGAAATTGCCATGGCAGATCCTGCGTATCGACAGGCCCGAAAGCCAAGGATAACCTACGGAAGAGTCCTGTCCCTCGACTTTGCGGCGAATAAAAGGCGGAAAGATGGATTCGCCAATCGGAGCAGAGCGACGCGCATCGACGAGGGCAAACGAGGGAATGGTCGATCGCGAGTAGGCGAATTCGCGATTAACGAGGTTATCGGTCCTGGTCCAGACCATCCTGGGAGGCACTCGAGCTCGATCGGTCCCAAAGGACCTCGTACGTTACGCAGGTGCAGGACCTGTCGGGTGGCGTTACTCAAAATCCATATCCGGTCTCTTTTAACGCCGGAGCGACCCCCATCCGCAGATAAATTCGCGATTCGGCCCCGATGGCTCCAATTTTTCATCTTCGAGACTATATCGCGGTATACAATTCGGTGTTATCTTTGATATTATTTCGATTGGAGTATTTTTTCTTTTAACGAGTGACGCCACTTTTTCCCCGTTTCAGGCTCGTCTCCTCGCCCAGCAGGCAGAACGAAGCACCAGGGAGCAGCAACGCCGGGGTCCAGCACGGTGCCACCTTCGCGGTCCGGGTCGGGACTATCAATGGCGTTATCACGCATCACCTGCGAGCGGAAACGCGTCGCGATCTGGCCGCATGGGCGCGGGCGATCGTGCAAGGTTGTCACGCCGCGGCGTACTCGATTCGCGAGTACACCGTCCGTAAGTACTTCCGATGATACGTAGAAGAGGTCCGGAAATTTTCTCCCCGGTTTTAATTCGCCCGAGGGGAGAACGGAGAGAAAAATCGCAGGCCAGGCCGCGGCGCAATTTTTTGGAACGTCGTCTGTAAGCGCTGATGGACCAATAATTTCGGCCTTTGTTTTTCCCCGGTAGGATTTAAACCGCGTGGGGCCGCCTCGCCTCGTTTCTCTCATTTGTTCCTGTCGCTCGATGTAATCAATCTGGACTTGCGGAAATAAACGCCAAGGGAAAGAAATGCAACTGGGTTAAATTTGATTGCGGGGCCGATATCACTGGCGGAAGCGTGAAAACGGCGAGATATCAGTTTACAGGCCCACAGTGTGCTACCGAGGCGTTAACACATTACCGTTGCTACATTCCGCCCGTGCAGAAATCCATTCCAAGTTCCACCGGGACCCGGGAAATATGCTTCAAGTTTCGAGCGCGATTCCGCGAGTGGAATTTCTCGTTTGTCCTTTATTCAAATACGTTTATCCAACCTCGCCACGAGATTGCCGTTCTCTCCTCTCCCCGAAACCCCGAGTCGAGCTCTTCTAAGTTGAGACCGGCAACCTCCCCAAAATTCGATCAGCCGACCCACGATTTCGGTACTTCTTCGTAGTGAACCCTTTAAATCCCAAACAAAATGATTTCACATTCGAGTGGTACATTTCGCGAGAAGGAGTAGATTTGAATTCACTAATCCGTGACTTATGGAAAAGTGGAGCCTCGGCCAAGTCCTAGATTAGCCATTTTATCCCCCTCCGATTTATCGCGACCCTCTAGAAGGCCGGCCTTGGGTCTTATCAAAGCGTCCCGACATTCGTCAAACTGAAATTAAATCCAGGTCGCTGCGACTCGAGAAACCTTGCAATTAATATCCCGAATTTCGAAGCCATAACCGAGCCGAACACGGTCGTATCCAAAGAGCTTATTCATTAAATTTCTACACACGTACCCGGAAGGGAACAAATTTCTGCCTTACGCAGGGCCCTCGGGGACCGTTCCTATCCTGGCAACTACAGGTTTCCGGATTAATCGGACTGAGTCCTCCGTTACTTTACCGTTACCAGGAGATTAGGTTCGTTATGATAGCGACCTCCCTCGGGAGGACACGTCCCGGAGTAATATATTTTCACACGGATTTTAGCACGGACTTTTCGAGCTTGCCCTCTCTATGAAATTTTCGCGAAATCCCCGAGGGCACCGCGAACAAATATTTTTCTTCGATTTAATTCAACACGGGCCAATTTGCATAATGTAACTGCCGGTAGGCCGGCGGCCCCGCTGGACACGACGGGGTCTTAAAATGAGGCCAAAAAGAGCCTCCAATGAATTTCCTATTAGACCCCCGCCACTTTTTCTCTCCTTATTGCCCGCCTAATTGGAAATTAATTATTAATTAATTTTTCTTCGCGCGCTCCGTCTCGCATGCATTCTCCTTGCTTTCGTACAAGTTCCCGAAACACCTCGAGCGACTGAGATTGCGTTTCCACTTCTAAAAAATACTAATAATCGGTTAGAGGGATTCATTTGGTAATGCATTTACAATCTCGGTGCAACGTTTCCATAGGATGCGTCTGGCAAGGCAGGTCCTGTCAGTTGATAATAAACCACGAAGACGGATTCACATTATACGCCGCCGGGACGCGCGGCGTCACAGGAAACGGCGAAAGTCCTGGATCTCCACCGACGCCTCTTTGGAGAAGACCCTTCGACAAACTCAAAATGTCCGCCGATGACGGAGCGAGACTCCTTTGGCTCGAATTCGGCGGGGACGACGGAGAAATTGTAAGTAAAATGTGAGAATATAGAAATATCGCTGAAAATAAAATCAAAACCCCTTGACAAACGTCACTACGATACGCGCACGATTTGTTAAATCCAGTGCTTCTAAGAGGAGTGAATTTTTTCCTCGTTGAAAATAAAAATTTAATTTATTTCAATGCCTATTTTTATCGTCTACGCGAACGCCCGTAAAGCGGGGAAACCCCCTTCCCGGGGAAAAAGAGTTAACTTTCGATCACCCGGTACATCAACGAGAGTTCGAGTGCCGCAGGACATCGTGATGTCAAAGTAAATGTTTTTCATCCCTAATGCGATCTTCCCCATGTTCGAGGGAAACTCCCGCAGGACACGCCAAAGCGAGTGCCCTCCCTCGGAGGAATCTCCTTCCGATCCTATTCAGCGGATATTACGAGAGGCAGCCAAGAAAATGTTTTTTCAACCCGGAGAGAGTTTTCCCTCGGACTTCTCCGACCGCGAATTCGTCTTGAAACTTCCTCAAATACGCGGGCGGGACAATAAGCTTTGCGAATTTATCTTCCCGCTGGCGGAAGGATAAATAACCGTAATTGTTAGTAATCCTTCCTCGAGTCTCGTCCGCGGTTCCTTGACAAGTGGATAACTTTCCCTCTTATTTAAATATACCCGAAGAAGCGATGAAGTACTCCCTCCTAAATATATACGATTTCGAGGGTCACGGTAAATTTTTTTTCTTTCTTCGTGATTTAGGGAATGCTTCTAAAAAACGTATAATCCACGCTTCTATTAATTTTCATTCCAGGAGCTGGACCTGGAGAGCTGTCCGAAGCCGGTGGTGTTCGTGCTGCACAATTTCCTGTCCGCGAAGATACACCGATTAGGATTGTCCGCATAGGGGTACGAGGGGGCCCCGCCGGAGGCCCCCGATTTGCCACCGCACACCACCAGGTCCGTAATAAGCGTCTTTCTGCATTGAAAAGCCAAAAAAAAAAAGAAGCAGCAGAGGCCGATGCGGCAGCCCAAGGGACGCGAGTCTTACGGAGCACTTTGCTTTTCGGGGATGCCGAAGGACCGGGAGAGGCCCGTCGACGAGCGGATCCTCGAGGACGACCGTGCCCGGAAGCGGACGTTGACAGGAGCCAACGAGCGGCTCCGAGAATCGGCGGGATCCTTCGATACCCTCGGAAAGCGCCCAAAAGAGAGCCAACGACTTTAACTTAAGAAAGTATAGCGACTATCGACGAGGAAGCGCGGCGACGACCGACTCGAAGCCATCCACCCTGAACGATTTCCGAAAAGAATAAAAAAAATAAGAAAACCGAGCGCCGAGGGGGGGTGGGGGCGGAAAAAATTCGCGATTTCTCCCCCGGCGAAACATTCCCGAACTGGACATCGAGGCGCTCGGAATCGCTATTAATCAACGCGCCTAATTAACTAACTAACGAAGCGAGCACGCGAAGCCGTCGGGCAGGGAGATAGAGAGATACCCAGATTATCGCTAAATATTAACGAATTATTACCGTATAAATAACGATTGCGCATTTGCATGATAACTGTATCGGAGACACCGGGAGATGGTAAACTCGACGATTTAGCGGCTAATTTATTATCGTCGGCGATCCTTGCTGGTCCTGATGCGAAGAAGCGTTCTCCAAGATGGCGACCGACTCGCGCCGAGTCTTCGCGACCGCCGACGCTTTTTAAGCCCTGATGTCGTCGCGAAACGTTCGGGAAATCGAACGATCGACTTCGGGAGCTCGTATCGAAGGACCAGCGAGACGCTTATAGTTGTTTTATACAGTTCGTATCCTTACACGAAGTAACGTAACGCAAAGTGTCGCGGGACGCTCTTAGCTCCGCCATGACTCGTACTTGCGCAGGGACGCCGCGGTTTCGCGATGGACTCCAAGGCCCGAAAAAACAGGGCGAGAATTATGTCGCCGGGGATATTAATTTGCGATTCCATTACGGGTTATGAAAACGGAGAAAGGAATTATCGAGACCGCTCCCTCTCTTGTGCATAATTGAGAAAAAAAAATAAAATAACGATCGTTTCGTGGCTCTTAAAGAACTTGGGGGCTAATCGTTAATGGCAAATGTTCCTTTGGGATGGGGTGGAGATGTCCTGGATATTTAATTTAAAAAATGGAAACGAGGTCGGAACTTCGGGGTCCATCGCGAAGCAATGATACTAACCGATACTAACTCGGCGGTGCGAGACGACGCGTCGCGGGAATAACGCGGCGTTAATATTAACCCGACTATCCGTTAACGAACGGCAGAAGAGGAGCTAAAGTAAAAAAACCTATTCATAAGACATTCGGTGTGTGTATAAATTAACGGTGGAAGAGGGCTGTCGGAATTTAGGAGTATCAGCGCCGTTCTCCCGGACTTCAGAACGCGGCGGGTGGCGTACAATAAATAAGGATTAGTAGAGACATATCAACGAAGTGACGTAACTTTAATTGTGTCCATTATCATCTTCCACGAGGCCCTCGAGACAGGTCGGCGAAAATCGGGTTCCTCTCGCGGCGGAAAAATAATGAAAATTCGATCGGCCCACCCGAGTCTATAAAAATCCTCGACCAGCCCTTGTAAATAAACATCCAAAGGGAAGTGGAGGAGAAGGGACCGAGTATTCCTGAAATTTAGATGGCTACGGATCGATCCTCGGAAATCGGATCACTCCTCGATCGATGGATCGATCGATCCGCCCAGCGTGTCGCGGGGGTCGCGGGGCCATATCACGCGCACTGTAAACTTATGTCGAATGAGTTGACGACGATTCGTTTGGAAAGGTTTTCGCGTAAATTCCGTATTTTTCTAATAATTTAGCCATCGCAGAACGGCGCTCGCGACGTCGCGACTTCTCGCGTCTTCTTGGACGGTCGACGTCGCCGCGAGGTCGAGTCCTTTCTTTCTAGATTATCAGAGCTAATTGTATCTATGAGTTACCAAATAAACGAGCGGTTAGACATTTCTCGGCGTTACATTTCCGCGGAATCGTCGAGTCCCTATTTTATAAGCCAGAGAAAATTCAACCGTCCCCCCGGTACCACGGTGAGTATTGTTATAAATTCCTCGCTTCGCCCCACTTCATTTAATAACGATACAACGTTCTCCGCTTTCAGCTTCGCATAAATAAGGACGATACAATTAAAGCCCCGGGAAAATAGTCCCACTTATGGAAATCTTACATCCATCGATCAGCTGATCTGACTGCGTTTGAAAAATGATCGTCCCGCCGATCGACGGGCCGTCCTCCCTCGAGGAAAAAGGACAGACTTATGCGCGACTCGGGGGCGAGAGAAGGAAGGAAATAGGTTGCGGATCGAAGAGCAGGGCCGCGAAAAAGTTCGGGACTCCGTCATTTTTATCGGCAGCTCGATATCCCGGTGCTCGTGATTGGCTCGCCGAACTTTTCCTGATCCGTCTTCTCGTTGAGTTCGCGGGAGATCTCCTTCCCAGGCCCACTTTTTCCCTCTCGCGCAACCCGGACCCGGGTCGCCGCACGTAAATCACCCGCCGGTTTCGGCCGGGCCAAACCTCCGGAACTTTTCTATCCTTCCTCCCTCGGAATCCCCGCATTCGGGTTTCCGGCCGAGAGGGGACGATCCCATCTTTTTCCGAGCTCGAAATACCCGACTTTTCGGCTTCGATACGCGCATCCGGAATCGCCTTAGCCGAATTGACTGGGTCGAGCCCCGCGTTTGTCATATCGGATTTATGCCGGTTTAGATTTAGGGTCCCCGGATATATCCGCGGGGAGAGAACTCTACCGACAACCGGCGTCTACCTTCGATATCTAAAATGATGTACAGCGCAACGTGCTCATACCTTGTATATAAAATTATCTCGATGGAATCGATACTTTAAAGTGCAAGATCCAGGATTGGAAAATTTTCACCCTCCGCCTCCGGTTCGCGGAGTAGAGAATTCCCCGCCGATATATGTTACGTATCGCGGAGTACACGCGACAAGCAATTTCGAAATGCGATATCGCGAAGCTGCCAGCAATGGCGGCGAATATCGAAGCCATTCGGGACGCAGGCGTCGACGGCTGCGACGCGTGTCGCCGTTTGCTGGGTGAACCGGCTTTTCAATCGCCCCAAAGCCGGGGGCTTTTATTCGACACGCAATCCGCGAGAACTTCGGCCCGGATTCTTGAGGAAGTCCTAGAAACCCGGCAACCATTTTCGCGGGGAAACGCCGAGTGGTCTCGGCTAAGCTCGCCGAAAAAGGGAGAAACGCGAGGAAGAGGGTGGAAACCGGAGACGCGGGAATGAATATTAATATCGAGACTCCGGTAATACGGAAGTATATTCCCCGGGGAGTGTAAGAACGGAAACGACGCGTCCTCTTCCGCAATTATGTACCGCGAAGTGGCACGTCGCCATTTTGGGGGATGTCGGAATTGCGGAGAACGCGCTCATGGAAATAGAAGCGAAACATTTTCCGAGGCCCTCCCTCGACCTTTATTCGCCGAAAATACGATTCTACCAAATAGTGAACTTCGTTTTATGCAATGAAATAATATATCGAGCCGATAGCGGCACACCTCCTTAATAAGTTAATTCGTCGAAATCCCCGGAAAGAACGGAGAACGTTCAAGGAAAGGGCCAGGAGAACCGTATCGAGGGAAAAATTCAACGGGCAATGCGAAGGATTTATATCGACACGTATTGCGTTCATATGTACGCGACACGTGTCCACCGCGTGTTTAGGTCGAGCTAATAACATTATGCGGAGACGTTTTCTCGTGCTGCGGCATTATGCATGAATTTTCGTTTCCATGGAAATGATATTACAGTACCCCAGGAATATTCGCACGGAATTAAGACTGCTCGCCCCTTTCCCCGCTGCGATTTATAAAGGACCACGTGGGCGCGGAAAAGTTGAATTTAATAAACGGCAGACCATGCGCGAGTCGATATTCCTCCGCGACGCCGGCCCAAGGGCGCCCGGAAACGTTAAACGGCCGTCAAAGTGTCAGTTTTTCAAGTCCACCCTCCATTTCCGGAAGATGTCCGAAGGCGACACTCCGGCGGAAACAATAACGCGAGAAAAAGGGGATAATAAAGTCCCATCGCGATCGGCTCGTCCACCAGGAGCGCCGATAAAAAGCAGATCGCGAGTCGCGGCAGTCCTCGCGGAATCGCTCGTTAAAAAGTGACTGAAATCGATTAAGCTGAAACAGAGGGGCCCACTCGTAAATGGAACGACCTGTACCCCGGACGACGGACGTCCTGAACCGGCGGACTATCGCGAGGAATAATTTTACGATGATAGGGCGCCACCCTTGTCCGAGTTAACAGCCCGCACGTATGGGTGCGGCCGCTACCTCGGGTTCGAAGATTTTAATGGGCCAGCTGCACTAGCCGTAAAAGTATGCTGCACCGATGCTGTAAAACTGTTTTAAAACGGCCAAGGGATCGAGTCCGCCCCTCACCCCCTGCACCCTTTATGCCGAAGAGTCCCACCCTCGAGGAAAGGAGCGTTGCAGTTTAGCACAGGATCTGCTTCCCGAGGGAGCTGATACCGGGAAAATGCTTACCGCATTTTAGCGAACCAAGGCGAGCTAAAAATCCTATGACGCAGAGTCCTCACCGATGATCGCGTCGAGGTCGAGATGTTTACGGAAGAAACTTGGAATATTCTCGTTACGATCCTGAGAACAAAGTATGAGTCCGCGGAAATTGTTCCTCTAAGAAAATTCAGATCTCGTCCGTTCAATGATTTTCTTTTTTTCTTTTTAGACTTCCCGGTTTTCTTAATACGTGCCAAATAAGTCTGGAGGCGAGGAGCGAAACCGAGGTTCCATTCAGAAATTACTCCCGCCCGGCTTCTGCGGTGAGGTGAATGTTGCATTACGAGGTGCTTCAATTTCCTGATTACCATATCGATCGGTGCATGACTATTGACAGGCTCTAAATGGGTATCGACAATTTAATTTCGTTTCGGTTGGTAGAACAAAGCAAGATATCTCGCGGACTTAATGCCGGCATGCCAGATCGACCACGAAATTACTCATTATGGATGCCGTCAAATTTATCGTGAAATTGACATTCTTCTTCATTTAATGAACTCGATGTCATTTCATCTTCTTGATATATTACACTTCGGACAACTCGCGGTTCAATTTATTTATCAAATTACGAGATTATTAAAATTTCATCAGTCCGCTGCAGGAAGCCTGTACTTCCTTTTTCGCCGCCCCGTCTCCTGTGACGTCGGCCTCGAAAGCTCGAATATCGGAAAAGTCAGGATTCTTTTTTACTCCCGTCGTCTAGATGCGTGCAAAGAGAGGAAGGGACGGAGATTTAATATTCCTATCATTGTATTCGGTGGTTTCCCCTAGTCTCCCCAGGGAAAGGTGCGACCGCCCCTTGCTTTCACATTTTCGAATCGATCCTTCCATCGACTCGTGACAAACCGACTCGACCTTCCATCAACGTCGGAAAATCCGAAATAAATTTACTCCCTTGCTAAAAAATTCATGGGATTTTAATCGACATAAAAATCTGCGTTGAAAAAAAAATTATTGTACGTGCTTTTCGACAACAATCAACGATTACGATGTCAATAAAGTAATCACGACAGGATTTCCTCCCTTTTTCTGTACCCCTCCCAAAACGGACAGGTCGGCCACCGTGCCGGACGTCGTCCGGCGTCGGACGGCCGCCCAGGATGTCCTTGCTCCTTTTTCCCCCAGGTCGGGGGCACGTTCTATCGCCCTACGTGCCCCGTCACGGTCGAGGGTAAGAGTCCTTTATTTTCTGTTTTATTCCCTTCTCCCTCGGCCGGCCGTGAGAAATACCCAGCACGATTGCGGCGGTCCTGGAGTCCGCCCTTCCTGGGGAGCTTGCGCGATTTTGATTATCATTCCGCCCAGGAAACGCACAATTGTCCCTTTGAATGCAAAACTGCGATATAAAAGCGAAGATTTTCTTTTCCGAGGGAAAATTCTTAAAACAGGACGAGATGGAAGAGCCCCAGGAGTAGACGTCACTTGTGGTCAGCGGCGCCGGAATCTTCAGGAGGAGCGACTCCATTTCCTCGGCCCTGCATTTTCCCATTTTCCTACCTTCCCTACAGACTCCGTACGATCGCTTTGCTGCGCTCCAGATCGTCGTTACCATCATTACCATTTACGTCGTTTAAGGGCAGCGTTCCTCCACCTGGCAGCTTCCGTGTAATTTCATCGTTTCCGTTTTACGCTCGAGCGTCGAGAGACACGCGTCGTGACGCCTCCCACACCGGCTGCCCCACCTTTGATGTCGAATGTCGTCCGAGACGTTTCCGAGTCTGCGAAGCGACCCGGGCGTCAAACGAGTTCCAGCGCAGCCTCCGTCGACTTTCCCTCGGTTTCCGCTTCCTTCCTCTGCCTCGACTATTTCCCTCCCTCGCCCCCAGGGGCCTCCCTCTCGTACCGTACGTCCCCTCTATTTATCGAACACGCGCGTCGCGCGAGTACGTACGTAAGTACGTTTGCTCGCCGCGAGCAAAAAGTTAAGCTCCGGCGTCGCGACGCCCCCCGCGAATTTAGACGGCTGCTCCGAGGCGTCCCGGCCAGTTAGTAGAGAGCGTTACGTGTGCGCGCTCCTCGAGGACCATAAGGACCAGGCCCCAGGATTTAGTTCCCTGAAGTCATAATCCTTCGAACGTCCAGAAAGTCCGAGGTTCGCGGTGACGGCCCTTCCGGTTGGAAGGGTGTCAGGGGACGAATACGCAGGATATCGCGTTTGGGATATCCGGCCTGCTCTCCCTTGAAGCAGGAGCCAGCCAGGGTCGAATTTTTCACTTTGCCCTAAGTGAATTTCGGTCCCTACCCGGAGGTCAAAATTGGATCACGAGTCCTTGAAGAGACACCGTAGACTCCGTCCTGTCTGTTCCTTCCCTCGCGAGCTCCCGTGCCCCGTAAACGCGATTTGCCCGAGCACTTTGCAACTTTGTACACAAGGACACGAGTACACACCCCGAAGTGCGCGAAGGAGGGCGAACGCAACCTGGAACGCGTCGGCGAGGGCGATGCTACGGGAAGAGGACGCGAATGGAGGGCGTTTCCGTCAACTGAGCCGACTCGTCTCTTGACACGGTTAATAATTACCGGAAACACGTAGACATACGGTCGGGTCTGTGCATACGCATCCACATGTTATTGCGAAGAGATTCGTACTACAATTGGCACTAAGAATTCGAGAGTAAGACGGAGAATACTGTTGGTCGACACCTTATCCTTACGCGAGTACCATCGCGTGGCTTCAAGGTATAACGTCTCTACTGCATGTACATACCTATATATTAATAATATTATTAATACACGTTTATATATATCTATGTATATCTCTATATATAAAAATCCGTCATACGTGTCCGTGGTCGGTAAAACTATGTGTACATATACGTGTAGACGTATACGCAAGGAAGAACAGGAGGCACTTTTCGACCTCCTCCTCTCTAATACATAAATTGGCATATATGTATATATAAATATACTCTAAGTCGTGAGGCGTCACGTAACGTAATGATCTACGTGGAAGACCAAATTGATTTTCGAATTATACAAGTCGAAAGAGGCCGGGGGTCGCGTCGCGAGATCGGGAATGCCGATCGGTAGCCTTTCAGTCGACGATTTTTCCAGGAGTCTTGCTTCGCGGTGGGTCTATGAGATCGATCGAACGGTCCTGCTGGGATGATCGATTGGGCCCCTCGACGACGCGACACCTCCGGGTCGTGCTTAAGATTACCTTAACCGTAACGAATCTCTATTAACGACGTTCTTGTGGCAATTCATCGGCAGTAGCGAGTAGGGTTCGTTCCCGTTAGGGAGACCTCGACGTCGAGCTCCTCGGAGGCGAGGCTGCTGACTTTTGGAGGATCTCGAAGGAGAGGATCTCGCGAGTTAATTAAATTATTCCTGGAGTGGTCCTCGACGTCGAGGACGCGACGAGGGACAAATAAATAGAGCTCAGACGTTAATGTTACAGGGTTTCAGTTCCATGAACTGGTAAGGCACGTGGAGGGTGGTGTTGTTGTGCTCCACCAGGAGGTGGCCACGTCTGGGGGATGCGCCGACGACCAGGACGGTCTCTCCTTTGAGCAGGACCACCTCTCCGTCTCCCTTTTCTAAAGACGAGAGGAATCAACGATGAGAACGTGCAAACATAAAAAATCATTCATCGGTTCATCAATTCGGGACACCCACCAGGGAATGGCATCTTCATCACCCTCGTCTGGGGATACCCCAGCTTCGTGTTTCCGGTCACGGTGTAAGACCTGCTGGGCGGAACAGGGGGCGGTCGTTCCTATTTTTTGGTTCGGAATAAACGTTTCCATGATATAATAAGAAATGTTGGGCAAGGTATGAAAAAATAGGATGATTTTAGTGAAAATGGGAGTTTTTACCAGGTCCAGGCCAAATAGGGTGCAAGTCTGCTGGATCATCTTCTGGTCCGCGCATTTCTCCGAGGGGTCTGGGGGCGGGGTGCCCGTTATCGGCTGGGGCCTCGGTCGCGTTCCGTTTCCGGTTCCGGAACTGTTAACGCTCCTCTGAACGGTTCCCGTGTTGCCGGAAGTTGGCTGCGGCTGCTTCTGACCGATACCACTGCCAGGGACCAGAGTCGTCTTCCTCACCAACCATCTCCTGCGGATCCTCCAGCCCCTCCACGTGGCCTGGGAAAATTTCGCGCGTTTTCAGACCTCCGTGAGATCATTGGGAACGAACTCCAGAGACCTGTTTTCCGATTCATAGGAAAACTCGGCACCTACTCGACGACTTGGAAGAGGTTTCGCGAAGACCGCGAAGTGGGTGCTTCGCGGCCCAAGTATCGCAAAAGTTCCCGGAGGATGAATGCGTCAAGCTATGGGTGCTATAAAAATATTTAAATAAATATCCCATCGACGATTCAAGGAATTGCGCATATTTCGTGCTTTGTCGTACTACGAAGAACCGAAGATTCTTCATGGGACCTCGCCGGTAAATAAATTTCACGGTGTTTCTAAAGGAGGAAAGGCGGTACCTGAATGGCCGTGGCTGCTTTTCTTCGGGTTTCCGATCTCAGGTTTTCCAATTGTTGACGAATTCCCTCGCTGAGGAAAATGTGCCTCTTGCCGAGGGCCCAACTCGTACTCGCCCCAAATTTACTCTTCAGCTGCTGGGCGTTCTGCAGAATGAGCTTGGTATCTTCGACCGCTTGTTCCTCGGCACGACGCAATTGTTTGAACGGCGCGAGTAATCTATACCTCGAATTAAACGCCTTGAAGCGCATCCTGTGTGGGTATCCTGAAAAAGGAAGTCGTTGCTTCATCCCGACGAAAGTCCTGACTCTGATTCAACGCCGACTCGGGTAATGGAAAATAAATCGAAAGACCGAGATTCCAGTAACGCGGATCGACGTACCGCCAGCCATCAGGTTGACGGTCTCGAGCACCTGAAGAGACCTGATCTGTCTCATGGCGACCCCTCTGTCCAAGTGCATCGGAGTCTCCGATGCATTGCTCCTGATGCACCTGACGAAATGAGGCCTTGCGTGCACGAGGGTCCTCAACAGGTTGTCCAGCCGAGTGTGAAAGTCCTGGGTCAACGTCGAAATCGGCTCGTCCCCGTTCAAGCTGGAAAAGCACGATGGAGTCGTTCCTCCAGGACACCATCTTGTACGCAATGTCAGATTTTAGGGTGTACGTACAGATCCGTGTGCGACGTCGGCGATATCCTAAAACTGACACCCCTGGGAACCGTGTCACTAGCGTAGAGCGCTTTGAGCTCGCTTCCAAACAGGTGGGTGGCGAAGCCGAAATTACAGGTGTGTTTGTAGAAAACCGCGACCAAGTCGTCAGGTACCACGTCCTTGTTCGTGTCTGAGAAAAGAAAAATCAGATATTGTCCTATCCTAAATCCGAAACCGAGGCACCGAGGACGACAGGGGACGCACCTAGGAAGTCGGACGCATCGTAGGTGACTCTTCCGGCGAAGTGCTGGATCCCGAAGGACCTGCAGTCCACGGTCCTGGGCTCGAAGAGCCGAGGATTCTGCTTGTGCTGGACCTTGACCTTCGCCACGTAGCTCTCGGCCGTGCCTCGTATCGAGCATTCCACGTCCAGCATACTGAGCAGGCCGGTGCGCTAAAAAATGAATAAATTTAAACGGAATGACTCGCCAGCCAGCCGATGTCCCGAATTCTGGAGAACTCACCAGAGAAGAAATGAGGTCTATACAGGGAACGTTGTCGACGTAGTCGACCTCGACGTCGCACCGGATGCCCTCGTCTCGACAGCTCTCGATGGAGCTCTTGAAGATGTGGGTGTTGTAGAAATGTTGCATCGTCTCGGCGCACAAATTGATGCACAAGTGCTCCAGTTGGCTCGGCTTTGGATCCTCGAACCCGAACATGTCGAGGATCCCGATGAAGCCGTCGGTCGCGTGTCTCACGGCGTTGTTCAACGCCGTCATGCTCCTCGAACCGGTGCCACCTACACGGCAAAAAGACCCTAAGACTTAGGAACTTGAATTAAACGTCAGCCGCAAGCTCGTCAAGGTCGATACTCCGAGAAGAAATTCTTTTTTCCTTTTAATCCCGTACCTTGCAGACGCGATACCGAGACCTCTTCCAAAAAATGCGATAAAACGCCAGATACCCTTTATCGCATTTTTCAAGGGTATAAATCATTTTCCCGGGGTCGGGCGTACCTGCGGAACTTCCGATGGTGGAAGCATGCTGACTGGTCACTTCGGCCTGGTTATGGACCGATTCGTTCGAGTCGGAGGACAGAGTGCCCAGAGTGGATCCCAGCCTCTTCAGACTGTTCGCCCTCCTCACAATGGTGGCGACAGTGCGACAGTACAGAGCCTTTGCCAGGGAATCTCTCGTCATGTTCGACTGGCAATTGCACAGGCACACCGTCAACACCGATTAATCGATCGGGACAAGGTTTGCCTCCGCTTCCAAGCCGGACTACTTACCATGTTTGCGTCGCAGACGGACTTGACGAGCTGTCCTCGAGCGTTATGAGTCCTCGACGTGAGTCCCCTCAGCAGAGCGGGTGGAGGCACCCCCAGAAGCGCGGCAACCGAGGACAATTCGTTCTCCCCGATCACGCCGACTTCCACGCCCGGGCCATCCGTGAACCCGACGTTGCCCAGGATGAGAACCGCCGCCAGGACCCTGACGACGTCCAGGAAAGGAATGCCAAGGACTCCTGGAACCGGAAAAAGAACAATGACTCCCTCGATAAGATTAGGCATTTCGGATAATTTAATATACAAAAAGCTGAGGGAGGTCACCTAGACAGGCCTTCCAGGCTTGAAACCTGATGGCGTCTTCCGCTTCGTCTTGCCTCGTGTCCCCGTGTTGGAGGTATCTCAGGTTCTTCAGGTTGTACCCCTCCAGATTCAGCTTGACTAGAAAGGTAAAATTCCGGGGTCAGAGTGCGGGGCATTTTATTTCCATTACCTCTTCGTTTAGGGAACTCCGATTTCTGGGTACCTCTTTCGTCGTGAGAAAGTCCAGCGAGCATCTGGTAGAAAATGTGGTAGTTCTTCTCATCGGGGAGCGGCCTGATCACCCTGGTCTGGTCCAGGAAGTAGCAGTGGATCTTGGTTCTGTACAAAGCGCCGTCGGTCACCTGGACCTCGATGAAGTGGCCCTGAAACGACGGAACCGCTGCACAACCTCCGCGTCTACAGACTGTCTGCTGACTCAAGACTCTGGGGGCTTAGGACTTTGTCGAAGAAAGATTTTTAAAAAACGTCGGACACTCACTATCCTCGAGCTCTCGGAATTCGTCGCTGTTTTCGCCGATCCCAGCGACCTGAGGACGGTGAAGGCAGCAGCCAGGTGCTTGAAGGCATCGGTCTCGGGACCTCCCCCGGCGACGTCGAAGAGTTGCCTCAGCAGCAACATCGACGCGTACGTCTTCCCCGAGCCGCTGGTCCCTGTGACAGGATAACGCGTCCTTATCGCCTATTCTCAAAAATGTACGGGGAGGAGAAGAAAAAAGAGCGACTTATCACCTGAGAGGATGATAGCCTGAGGATAGCCGGTCTCGGATTGTTGCCGCACAGCCTCCTGAACCACCCTGTTCAGCTGGGGCGCCAATGGGACGGCTCTGGTGCTCGTTAAGGTCAGAGGATTCCCAACATCCGTATAAGGATTGATGCAAACCAAGATCGGGCCGACGTTTGTCTGAAAGGACGACACTTATCGATACCCATCGCTTCCCAATCCCGGGTTCGACCCGACCTCTCTTTCTCCACCTTGCAGTCCCCCCGAAATTTAATGGATACCACTTTTTACCACTCGTTCGCGCGTAATCCCGCCGGGACGGCCAATCGATTAGTCGCAGCTTACGATCGAAACGTCGTCGCTCTCGATTCCGGAGTTCCGGCCCTCGCCAGGAGGCGTTGCGTCGATCGATTTATCGCCTTCGATCGCTCCGTCCGAGGATCACGGGGCCGACCCGATACTTTCTCGCACTTTTCGATCGATTCTCGACTCGCCATTCAGGGTGTCGTAAGACGTCTCTGTGCGCCGAAATTGGGATTTTTACGTAACGGTTAGCCAATTTGGCCAAATCGGGTCGAGAGGTGGACGCGCGATTATGGCGACTGTTGGGCAACCCGATGCCTTGAAAAATGAATTTCAACCCCTTGCCTCGTTTTCAAGTCCGATAGTATCTAGGAACTAGGAAGGCGATTTCGTGGTCTTGGAGGATAGCCCTGAGCGGGATACCTCGCGAGGCATTCCGTTCCCGATTATCCTGGAAGCCGAGGAGGGCACCTCGGTCCTTGGAGTAGAAGCCGAGCAGGATAAAGGCAGGGTAAAGGCAGGCTAAAGGCAGGGCAGGGGCAGGGTAAAGGCAGAGGCGGGGCAGAGCGGCCCCTTTGGTGGGTACCCTTCCTATTAGGGCCCCACTAGAGAAAGCAGGACGCGGGACCGGAGACGGGGCCCGGGATAAAAAGAGCAAAGGGTCGGAGGGGGGCAGGAACCGGTCCCATCTCTGGGCCCCAGGGGAACGGGAAACCTGCGCCGCTGTAAACAGATTACGCACCTGCGTACACCACCTCGCAGAGGGTACGCGCGGGCGTTATCACTGCCGAGGGGCCCGTTAACTCGCGATTTCCTCTAATCTCGGGAAATTATCCGCGTGCACGCGTAATTCCGTAAACGCACCTTTGGCGCGGAAATCGCGCCTCCAAAGAAGACTGCTCGCTAATTACCAGGCAATAGCGCCGTCGGCGTTATCGGAGGTACTCTGGTTAGAGGATTACCCTAATTGCGATTAAGGTCGATTAAATCGCGCGGAAGAATTCGAGGAACGCACCGAAACGCGGCACAAATTTTCCGTACGGTCGATGATAAGATTATTGAGATGACGGCTGAAAACGAGTGGGTAGAGGCGTGTAATTTTTTTTTTTTCTTTTTGGTAATGGTAATTGTTTCATCACGAAAGGGTATTTAAACGAGGTACTTTATTTTTCTGAAACCGTACAGAGGCGCGTTAACGCGTTCCAGAAGGGGACGTCTCGCACCTTCGGGCCCTGATCGCTAATTGCGGTTTAATGACGGTATTAAGTCTCCCCTAACTCGGGGAATTACCCTAATTGCAAGTCGATTAAATCCTAGATGTCGGCCTTGAAAGTATATGCTCGCGCCGACTGATTAATCGTGTGTGCGAAAATTTCCGTTCAATTGCGTGCGCTGAACGTCTAATCGCGAAAATACGAGGAATTAGCAAGGGTTAACTCGACGAGTTAACTCCCCACCTCCGTGTTAATAATTTTTATTTAAGAGAGAAAAAAAAGACACGCCTATCGGGAGTAATTACAACACCTCCTCCCTCGTTTTCCTAATTACCCGGCACGCACCTTCGCCACCTTCAACGAGGAAGCTCCAATTTAGAAGAACGCTCACGCTTAGTCCTCCCCTGATGGTTAATTATTTAATTACGTCATTAAGTCCCCCTGTGCCGAGAGGATTACTCTAGTTACAAGTCGGTGGAGTCATTATCGCCGTCGACTCGACGAAGGTCGTCGAGCACGCCCAAAGTTCGCCTTATCGATTCGACTCCGTCATCGCGTAGAAATTTTATTCCCTCGGCGTGTCAAGATTTAATTCTATCGACTGTGTAATACTTGCCACGTGGATGATTGACGATTCGAGATGTAAATATTTCGGGTATCATCGAGGGATTAGAGATTTTATAGCCGGACGCGAGCGGAGAAAAATGATGACTATCGTGGGGAACGGCGTCGCCGTGTCGAAGACATCGAGATGACAGTTCACACGTGGGTTTTACCGTGTAGATCGTGACAGCTATGTCAAGTATGCCTCATCGGTAGACATAATGTATGCAGATGGCCCGGGATAGACGTATTTGGCCGGTATAACTGGAATTCCACTGTATTGTCAGGGGTATGACCCGGGAAATCGGGGGTCATTAAGCATCGCTCCAACTAAAATGATACGAAGTGATATTAAATTCGAATATAAGTAACAGTTCGCGGGGGGAATAAAAATCACTGATTTATTTTCTCGTTTCAAAAATTACGCTGAATAATTTATTATTTTATATATCGCGTCGCGGAAGTATCGGCGCTCCGGTCTTGAATATTTAATTATCAGGTTATTAAGACTTTGCGCCTCTTTTTAGGAGCGTCGCTTTTCAAGAGTGCCTTGTATAGACACGGCATGAATGTATAATATGGCTCGCGTGACTCTTCCTATAGAGGGACCGTTTTTAGAAGAGAAACCTTCCGGAGCCGTGGACCACCTCGGAGGAATGCGAGCTCGCCACCTGCGAGGTATCGGCGTCAATGTACGACCGCCGTAAGTGCGTATGAACGGGCACGCAGGGCGCGAGCCCTGCACGAAGTCTCGTTTCGAGAGAGAAAAAAGTCGCGAACCCTTTCCTCCGCAATTGCCCGTAAATTCCGATCTTCATCGAAAACGAAGCCACCGGCGTCCTGCCGATCCTTCGACTCGCGGATGAAAGGGTCTCGGAGACACTCTTCTGGAACTACCCCTCGAAGAGGTCGGTCCGGAACCTTCGAGAGCACTCTCCCCGAATTCGAGAGAACACGGTAAATATAAGAAAGCAACAATTATTTTGACAGAAAACACGGAGGGAGCGTTCCTCCGGGGGAGTCGGCGACCTCTTCGGAAAGCGGAATAATTCTACAATCGAGGGAAGAGACGTTTCCAAGGTCCGCGTTTATACGATTTATTTTACCATACGAATATCAATGCCCTGACACGTGAAATTTTATTTTTTCTTTCATTTGTTTATAAATATCTGTTGGTGGAAAAATGAAATTTCCCGGGAATGGAGACCTTCCTCGGGGCCTCGGCGTTCGCGTGGTAAGATTTCAAACGACTCGGTGCCCCCGGTTCGGAGAAAAGCTTCATAAACCAGACCCCTCGGACGGCACTTTCGTATCACCTTAATGCCGGGACCCATGAGCCGTGCGTGCGGCACGCGTGTTTGCGTAGCCGCGCAGGTACGCGAGTCCGCGCGTTCAATGCGAGTTCGGCGAGCTCGCTTTGCTCCGTTTGCATTCCGAAGGGACGGAGAGCAGCTCCGGGCGCCGCTCGAGCGGGGCCTCATTATCCCGGCCCGAAAACGTCTCTTTCCCTCCTCCTCCGCGATCGACTTTGCCTCCTTCGGCCCCCTTTATCGGCCCGTTTCGCCGCTTTCCTTGAAAACGTCCCGACACCGACTCCCTCCGCATTAAGGGGCTCCTACGTAATCTCGGAATTTTCCCCATCGCTCTTCCCCGGTTCCCGTATTTCGCCAATTTGGTTTTCCGACGATCCGAGTATCCTTACGTGGTACTGCTTGGCGCAGAATCGGGCCTGAAGACACTTGAGGACCGCATCCTCCGTCAGAGGTCCGGGTAGGTGAATGAGGTCGTCCAAGGCCGTGGAGGTCGCAGGGCCGGCGCCCACGACGGCGGCTTTCTGGAGGCACCTGTGCTGGTTCTGCGAGGTCTTCGCGTTCTTCACGTCCGCGATGATGCTCGAGATCGGCGGCGAACGGAGGCAGCCCAGGGCCGTCACGCAGGAGACGATCCCGTCGTCCGGCACCCCGGGTCTCTTTGGCGGCTCCAAGTCTGAAACATCCCCGGTAGACGTGAACGCCACCTGGCTTCCTCCTGGGCGCAGGAAAAAAAGATGGGTTCATCGAACGAATCCCCGGACCAGGGTCTTCGGTACCTCCTCGGGTCTCCCGGACTACTCGCCCCCCGGATCATTTCTCGGGTGCTCTCCGCGGGAATTCCGCGTTTACCTCGCAGCTGCGGGACGCGATCGAAATGTACCCACCAGAAATTAAATTGTTTGCGGCGGAGCCGTGGTTCAGCGCGTTGGTGGCATGATTGACGTGCGGATGGACGATGACGGAGGCGGTGAGGGTGTGTCCCGAGGGATGGCCGATGCCGTGGCTCGGAGGGGTGGAGGCGGCCCCGGGGGGTAGGGTCGTCCTCGGGGGCACCGCCGGCGCCGGCGTCGGGACGGCCTTCTCCGGGCTCTTGGCCGGGGGGCCCCCGGAACCTCCACCTGCCGGCCCTGAATTATTCGGCTGGCTCACGTGCAGCCGGTTCCTCAGAGTCACCAGCTCCGTGCTCAAGCTCCGCAGGCGCTGCTGCAGGTGCACCGCCTCGTTCGACGATGAGGCGTCTGCAATGGGACCTCGCTTTCAGACCTCGGGATCTGGACTGTCTAAGACTGTCTAACTTACGCAGCTATGCAAATTAGAGAGAGAAAAAAAAAGAACGGTACTCGATAGATGGACGGGACCCCGGACGGAGACTGGACAGGGTGGAAAATGGAGGCGAAAAATCTTACGGAATTTTTTTTTTTTTTTTTCGAGGTGCACATCTTGAAAAAAATACCTGTACCGGTTCATTGAACACCTAGGTACGGGACGGTTGAGTAAATGCGCGATGCTCGTTTGATAATTCGCTGCCAAGGGAGGGTAGACGATCGGGATGCATCTCCTATGCAGCGAGGACTAGGTGGCTCTTGGGGATCGAATGGGAACTATTTTGATATTTCCAGGACATCCCGAGTACGGTTACCCGGAAACGAGCTCCGAAGGGACGAAGTACATCCCGAGGGATGGCGATAGCTACGAGCCAGTGGTTTCCTAGCATTTTCGCTTAGCATTGTATCCCGGATTAACGGTACCCCGAGAAGACAGCCGAAGGAGCACGAATGCCCCGCGTGACTGCCATTAGCTGGCCAGAGTCGGAAAATAGTTGACGGTGGTTAACCCTTGACCCCGAAGAGAGGAACGCCCGATTTACGACGCCACCCGTAAAAGGCCCGATCCCTCGAAAATCGAAAGAAGTCTCCCCTAATTGAGATCTCGCCGACACTCGAGAAGCAAAAATTATCCTTCGTCCTCCTCTCCGAGAATTTTCCGGTCCACGTTTTGGCATCACCCAAAAAGCCCCAAAAATAAAGATATTTAATGGTAACCATCGTCGCTCGACCTGGAAATTCCGGAAACGAATCGCAAAGCTTATCGCGGGATGCAATGAAATTCGGACACGCAACGTAACGCGGAAATGAAGAGATTGCATTTCCGCTATGCGGGGAAAACGTCAACCCCCTTCCAGGCTTTCAAGTCCGAATTTAGCCCGCGGTTCGACCGCGTTTTTTTCCCCGCTAATTTTCACCGTTTCGAGTGATTTCGACGTTTCAATTAACTGCGCGATTGTCGTATTTCGTTATCTACCGGCAAATTAGAACCGATCGCCGATATGTGCCGCGGATCAAAGCCGCACTCCGTTCGACGCGGAATTAAAACGCGGCCGAATCGCCAGTGATTTTGTGATTTTTACGCTCGTCAGACATTTCTACGGCGGAGGGGGAGCAAAATGGGGGGCGGAAAAAAATCGAACCCGAGGCCGAAAGCGAATCTGTTTCTCCTGTCAATGAAATAAAGCGTTTTAGTGCCGGATCAGCAAAACCTGTAGAAGAAATTCATTTACAATACAATATGATCGAGGGTTGCTCGGTTTAAGGGGGAATAATTTGAATTAATTGAAAGAGAGGAATTAAAAAATCGGATTCCATTTTCTGGCTTCGGACGCTGCTTTTGTTTTTCTCGCAGCCTTTTTAGATCCGAATGCCAATCCACGTTATGAACTGGAGATACGTCGAGCCCCTCCACCTTTTTCATTACTCTTCATATAAATGGACCCCATGAAAATCGTGGAATTAATTTTTAGTGGACCGTGCACCCTCGGAGGAATTTTTTTTTTAACATCGTTCGGAACCAACCACGTGTTTGACACCGAATTGCAGCAGCGGGGCAACTGTCATTTCCCACGAAACTTTAACCGAATGACGGCGAACCCGCGCCCCATGTGCGTTACTCTAATTTTCGACGCGTCCATGAAAAGCGCGACTCCCATGCATTGATATCTATCGGGGAATTAGTAGCGATTGCCTATATATTTCCCGAGGTCAGCGCGGCGTCACAATCAATTAACACTGTCCACCGCAGAATTGAATTGCCCCCGAATTCGTTTATCGCTCTGCAAGTCTCTTCCCGGTAAAGTCCACTTTTCCGCCACTGAACCTCCCTCGCTTCGGAAAAAATGTTTCAAATTTCTACATTTCGAGAAAACTCGAATTTTCGGAAGATAAAAATATAAACGTTAAAGTGGCGTTAATTTCAAGATTTTATCGCGAGGTATTTACAAGCGACACCTCTTCGAGTACTCTACTCCCTCGAGACGAGCCTTCTTACGTTTCACCACGGACAAATGCGAGTCTCGGGAGTTCATACTTTACCGGGACCTTTAAACTTTGCCAACACTTTGTGCAAATGGTGTCACGAAGGGGTGCATCGCGAAGCCCGGGTTCGCGGGGGGTCCCGAGTGGCGGACGCAAAACTCGCGGAATCCCGCGGTTTGGCTTCGTTAAGGCGTCCCTTCGTAATGCCGAGCAACCCCCTCTCGATTACGGTGATCTCGTAACGAGCAAACGACGTCGATAGAGCAGCTTCGTTAATCAAAGTGGCCGAGCTGGCTGGCGAAGCTGCGACGAGCGATCGAGCTTCTTCGCGAGTTGCCTCGAATAAGAGACATCACCTGGCCGATGACAACGTATCGCGAAAACATCCCTCCGAGATAATGCGAAATATGCTTTTTATGGATTTTTCTCGACCCCCATAAATCTCCCCCGCATTCGCGACGCCTGTAACGTCTTCAGGGTCCCCTGATGACGAATGAGCGGAAAGGGTCGGGAGGAGAAAAAAAAATTATGGAAATTCACTTTGCGGCACATTTCTCACAGGAAACGGAGGCGGGATCCTGCTTCGCAAAATTTCGCGGGATTCCGAGTTTCCAGGATTCTTAACGGTTAGCACCAGGAAACGGGTTTAACGGGTAGACAGGGTATACCGATGTGACCTTCGGTCAATTTTTATCGCCGGGATGATTTTTTTCAGCTATCCGGTGTCTCTCCTGGAAAGATGAGCCGTCAACCTTAGAATATATTCCTACATAAATATTTGTAAATTAAATCCTTCCGTGTTAGTTCTGGACATTTTATGTATAGAGGGAGATCGAGAAGTGGTGGAATTTCAAGCAAGGTTTTTCGGTCCGACCTTTCGCGGGACGCACTTCGACGAAGGGGGAATTTCCGTGGTACGTGGTATTCACATCGAGGAAATTTGTAAGCCGGGGGGGCTCTACCCGATGATTGTGGCTTCATATTCGCAGACTCCGTTGGATCAGCTATGACAAAGCTTAAACTAGACGCGGCTCTAACGTTGTCGAATTACGTGCATTGAATTAACGTTCAGCCGGAGTTTCTCTCCGGCTTAAACTTGAGTGAAACCGGTGCGACCGGTTCCTAGTGATAAAACGTTTCGGTACTAATAGTAACGCCACTGTAAACCGTATCGTGAGATGTTGGATCGAAATTCCCGAAATTTATTGCCCAATTCGATTGCGCGACTTTACGTCCATGTCGAACGTCTCAATCGGCCTGATAAAATGGCACCCAATGGGAAGAAATCCCGCGAGTAGAAAAATCTAATGAAATTTCAAACAAGCGTAGCATGCAAATCTTGTAAACGATCGTCTCCGATGAAATAAATACAGGATATTAGAAAGTGCCCAGACGTATCGGTTACGATCGCCCTGTTACCAAGAGCAATGATACTTTCTACAATTGAAGATCGAGCGGTGCACCGCGGAGTGCAACCGGTTGCGGAAAAGGTTCTGGGAAGTGCAGCTAAATTCGTCGGTGACCCAATGACGGATTTGCGGCTCGCGGGGATATTTTTCACGGATTTTCCTCGAGGGGATTTGGATCCGTCCCGAAAACAAGCGTTTCCGTTTATGCCGGAAGGACTCCGGGGCGAGCGATGCACGTACCCGGTGCATCTGCAATTCCGTTGGCGCAATTCTCCAAACGGCGATGCTTTTCCAACGTCTAAATGCGTCCACGACCCAAAGACGGATTCAGGGAAAACAACAAAGAGGTCCCCGAGGGTTCCCTTTGAGGAGTTCGCGTTTGACCGTATCCCTGATTACATTATAAATTCCTACAGGTCGTCTCTCGAGTCCCGCGAGGAATCCTCTGGAATAAGTGGGCCCAGTGCTCCGCTATCCTCGATTAAAGGACACCGGGTCCAGAAAGTGGGCCGATCGGACCTCGTCGAAAATATGAACATTTGCTCGGGGAGATAGCGCGAAAAAAAAAATATCTCAAAATCCAGAGGAATCTCGTTCGGGGTTCCTCTTCGACGTTGCGCGGCTAACACAGCGAGAGCATCGCTGGGAGATAGAAAAGTCGCTCTTTCATTTGTTTCGTCCTCGTCCCAGGACCCCGACGAGGGTCCTTCGATCAGGCGTCCCGTCGACGACGCAGCTCCCCGAAAGGCCGGTGCTTTTCCATCAGCATCCGAACGCGTCGGTGACCCAAAGACCGATTCAGGGAAAACAACAAAGAGCCGAAGGCCTGCTTCGAGGGGTCCGCGTTTATCCCGGGTTACATTAGGGATTCCTGCAGGTCCCTCCGGAGTCCCACGGGACCGTGGCGCTCTCGGCCGGAAAGACAGAAAGTCCGAACAGGTATGTGTACGGGCAGGCCCTACTACCCGGGAATTAAGGTAAGCAGGTACAGCAGGGGCTGGACTCCGCAGGGAAACAGGTTTACGGAGGCTCTACACCACCTTCGTCCTAACTCCCCCGACCTGCTCGGCAGGGACTTATGAATCGGATCGTCCGGGGCGAACCTCCGGCATCCCGGGGGAAAGACCCGGGAAGAAGCTGTGACTGGACCCGGACTCCGGTTTACGAGCCGACGGCTTTAAAAAAAGGATATGAATTTCGGCCTCTCCTTTGCGGGCCCTAGGGACAGGTCCTCCTTATCGCGACAACCGAGCTGGAATGTAGAATACGGATAAGGGGCAACTAATTGGGATCGGTGGTGGCGCGTTGGGAGGAAATCCCTATCAAAGGGGTCTTTCGTAATGTGATAAGTCACTTTGCCTGGGGAACCTTCCAGGCGATCGTCTCGAGCACCTCGAACCTCGGGATAGGGCGGTGGGGTTAGATCGTTACTTTTTATACGTAATCGCAATATTGGTCCAGCGTGCACGAATGGATGCATCGCCGTTGTGCCTTGCCTCCGCCAAGTTCTGGAATTAATAG